ATCTCAGGACTAACACGCAGAGAGACAGGCAACCATTCACACTCGCATTCACTCTTAACACACACGTCTTTGGACGCACAGACACGGGGAGAACAAGCCTTCAGTGAGGGGATGCATTTGCAACTGAGCCTGGAAACGAGACAACACTCCCCAGTGTACCTGTTAACAAAGGGTTTGATCATTGTGATGCCGACTACAAAGAACATGAGCACAGAGAAGGCCATCATGGTGCAGCCCAGCAGGATGGCGCGGTCCTCCCCGACGCTTGCACCTGGCACCTGTGTCCGAATCCCCTGCTCTCCGTGCCCGTCAGCTCCTCGGCTTCGATCGCGGTCCTGAGCCACCATAGTGTGGCAGAATTCCCCGGGCCTCACACACACAGACACACACACATACAGGGATTTAATTCAGAAGTGATTCAAACGTAAATGATTTCACGTTTGGTTAATTTTACACTCTTTAAAACAATGACTTACATACAAAATGTATTTAAAGTAATGTAAGTGTAAAAATGAAATGAAATACAATAAAATGTGACCAAAACTTCAAAAAATGAGCCATGCTAGCAGCTCTGTTTGAAAATACGGGTGGTTTGAGCTAAACGCCACTTAGCATGGTAGCATGCCATTGTACCACTTGCTAATTAGCAATAAACAGGAAGCGCAGCAGAAGGTCATTAGTTTAGGAACTAGCTTATTTAGCTAGACATGAACACTGTAAGAGAAAAACACTGCCCATAAACAATAAATCAGTGATTAGAGGTCAAGCTGGAGGAATCATTTTAATTAGTCCTGTGTTAATAATGTGGGCCTTAGTATTTCCTTTAATCGGCAGTTTGTTAGCTGCACCTGTTCGCTGCTTGTTCATGCCTATCACACAGCAGCAAGCAATGCATCTAGCCATATAAACATAGGCTAGCCAGACTGCTGTGAGATGAAAAACAACAGTATCTCAAATAACCACTCGTTACACCAAATGTAAGCAGAAGATCAGGACAGGTTGAATCTTGACGCAGATTTGTTACAGCAACAGCAGAAGACAACACTGGGTGCCGCTCCTGTCATCTAAGAGCAGGAAACTGAGGCTACAATAAAATTGGAAAACAGAAGACTGGGAAAATGTTGCCTGGTCTGATAAGACTTGATTTTTGCTGCAACATTTAGATGGTTGGATCAGAATTTGGTATAAATAACACAAAAGCATGGATCTAGCCTGCCTTGTATCAACAGTTCAGCTTCATGGGATATTTTGTTAACACAGTTTTGCTACTGACCACATCCATCCCTTTATGCCCACAGTGTCCCCGTCTTCTGATGGCTCCTTCTAGCAGGATAATGCACCGTGTCAGAAAACTCAAATCAGCTCAAACTGGTTTCTTGAACATTGCAGTGCACCTTTGGGATGCAGTGGAATGGGAGATTCTCATCATGGATGTGCAGCTGACAAACTGTGCGATGAACTAAAATCTCTGAGGAATGCTTCCTGCACCTTGTTGAATCGGTGCCATGAGGAATTAAAACGAAAGAAGGCAAAAGTGGGGCTGATCTGGTACTAGCAACCTGTACCTTATGAAGTGACTGGTGAATGTATACAGGTTATTTCTGATATCATTCCCCTTCAAGCCATACATTTAGAAATACTCTGTGCTGTGCATGTGCTGTAATCTCACACATGCATATGTGTTGAATCGTTTTTTCTAAAATCTTGACTAGTCCTTTGTTTACAACAGTGCATATCTGTTACAGACTGCTGCAGTTGTTTGTATATTTATACAATATTTCTTTTTAACCGACGCCATTAACAGACCAGCAGGATGTCATGAAACTTACTGGTTTTGTAACCTGTTGGAGGCAGGACAGGATACAAAATATAGGCTTTTTTTAAAACTTTACAAACAGAAGATGTACATTTTCCAGGCTTATAGTAGTAATCATATGTCCAATCAGTGGAATGCAGTATGAACTGACTGATGTCACCACAAACTGGTTTTTATACACACCCAGTGAGCACCTATAGCGTGTATAATGTGAAGCTCTGTTTAAATTCAGCCGTGCTTTTCCTTCATAATGAACCCAAAAGTGTTGCTGCCTGGCCCAGTCGATTGCCGGCTCTTACCGTGTCTGCCGCCTGCGAGCACCATGCAGGTTAATGTTAATGGGGATGCTGGATGACCTCCGGGGAGAATCTGTGTTCAACCACATGCCCACTCCTATCTGAGCCACCTCCTGTACAGTATATCCACCTAACAAGCTCCTCTCTATCTGAAAGTCAAATGTCCTTCTGCCAGCAGCTGATCATTTCATATCTCCAACAGGCTCCGGGGCACTGCTGTGACAGGCTGAGTGGACTCGATATCAGTTTAGTCACCAGGGAACTTCCTGTTGTTTACCAAGGCTCAAAGGTGAGTGCAAAAACACCTTCCACCCTCATATGTGTTTCTATAGAAACCACCACAGGTAAGGCAGGTAGGATGCTAATGGCCTCTCAGCGGGCCTGTGACACTCAGCAGCAGCCGTTTGTCACAGAAAAGCCGAGCTGGATGAATCCCTCCTTGATTACCGTTTCCACAGAATGAAACACACGCAGTGACGCTACACTGGTGAGTACACATGCTCTATGAAATCATTTTTCATTAAAAAAATTACAGAAAGGTCAACACTATGGCCAACGAATGCACGCATACATATATAGTAGATTCCTACCCAAATACATGAGTCCTGCGACTTTTCATCACTGCAGGGGCCTGGTGAGCTCGAAACCTCTCAGATTGTCTGGACGTTATTTGGCATGAGCACATGATGCTGAGCGAGTTTATATCTGCTATTCAAACAATCAAATGTTTTGTATTATTCATGGGTTGCTGAAAAACATATGGCGGTATTAACTTGGTGACAGTTCTGTTTAATACAGCAAGCCCAAGGCTAGGAACACCACAGCAGCTTGAAAAAAGGAGCTACAGCTCAACACAACAGACAGCAGTGTCATACCTAATTTATTCAGTATTGAATACATTGCAGCGTTAAGCTGAATAGTTTCCTCCGTTGCCCGCTCTGCTGTTAAAGCTCCATAAGATATAGTCCTTGTTTATCTGATGTATTTCATTACTTTTTGTTTTATCACTGTGTGATTTATTGTGTTTTTGAACAGCTAAATTTAGCCCCATGCTTGTAAAAAGCACAATTCCTATTTAAAGACCTGTGCAAAAGACTCAAACCACCCCTTATTTCTTTATATTGTGCTATAGAAATAGGAAACAGGTGCAGGGATTTATTGAAGCATGTGCAAACATATATGGAAACACACAGTATGTGAGGCAAAAACAGAGTTTGTACAATTCTAACAAACATGAACGGCAATATTTGGTGTGACTTTATTCTTCTACTTAGCCTGAACTCTCTGTCTAAGAGAGTTCGGGCTAAGTAGTCTTCAGGAATAGTTCTTCAAGCTTCTTGAAGAACATTTAAAGCTCTTCTTTGGATGTTGGCTGCCTTTTTTCTTCTGTTCTTTGTCAACACGATCCCACACTGCTTGTTGAGGTGCGAGCTCTGGGGAGGCCAATGCATGACTGATAGTGTTTCACTGTGTGTTTACTGCATTGGCAGTGTGTTTGGGATCATTGTCATGCTAAAACCTTATCAGAAGCTTTCCAGATTGTACTACATGATGGATCCAAATTTGATGGTACTTTTCTGTGTTCATCAATTTGGACAAGATCTCCAACACCACTGACCGAAATGGAGCCCAAGACCATGACAGAGCTTCCACCATGTTGTACACACTTTATGTTGTACCTCTTTCCTGACCTCTGTACATACTTGAACCAAGTATTTCATATTTGGATTCACCACTCCATCTGTTGCTCCTCATTTTTAGTCTAGTTATTGTATAATCTGGCATTACATGATAACCTGAGCCTTCTGTCCCTGTTTCTCTTCCTTTGGCTTCTTCCTTTCACTGGGATCATTTCTCATTAGGCTTCAGTGAACAGTAGATGGATCAACTTAAGCACCAGATGCATCTGTCAGGTCCTGTGTCAAGTCTTTGCTGGATTTTTTTCAGCAGTTTCCTAAAATTCTTAAGAACAAACTACACACCATGCCGGGATATGCCGAGTTTTCAGCTAATAGCTCTTTGGGAATCACATTGCGCCAAAACTACTATTTTATGTTATCATTGGCATTTTTCATAGATTTAACTACAGAAATTGAACAGAAGATGTAACAAAGTGCCTTAAAGATACAATTTGTCCTTTTCCCTGTTATGTGTAGGAGCTTTTATTATGCTTGAATGATTCATGGGTCAGTGTTAAGTGGCTTAACAGAAAAAAAAACCCCAAAGCAACAACAAAAAAATGATTTACTATGAAAATGGTCAGTTCCAAGAAAAACTCCAAAACTCCTTCAGAAGGCCTGGAGAACTATTGCTCTGGCTCTTCTTTGGATGTTCTTCTTTAGTCTGCCTCCTTGGAAGAAAAGTATAAAGAAATGAGGAGTGTCTCAAGACTTTTGCATATTACTGTGTAACCAAAAGGGGCAGATAGGCCTTGCACATTTTTTCACAAGGTTGTGAGGTGCTTTTGATGAAACTGAAGCAAACAAGTTTAAATATGTATAAACCTCAGGGTACTTTACCTCACCGGGCAACCTGAGAACTTGCCTCGATCTCGCAGTGTGGTGCTACACCGAGGACTGAAGTCAAACAGAATTTCATCTTTAACATAAATGCCTAATGGAATTGGACTACTGCAATCATTTCATATTTGTTTGTATTGTTTCCATGTTTGCTGTGACGTGGTCCAGGCTTCGTTCGTCCTGAGCTTTTTCTGTAAGAAAAGCCTCCCATCGTCTTTGTTGTCCATCTCTAAGAAGTTTTGCTGTGACCTTGTAAAGCGCTGCAACAGATTCCTCTGATTATCTGGGCCGGCAGCTGTAATAGGATGCATGGTGTCTCTTGTTATCTGATTATGGCTCTGAAGAATGTTTCAGAGCAGCATGCGCAGATAGAGGTTGGCATGTAAAAAGAAGCAAGTCAGTGAGGACAATGGATAATCACCAAAAGAGGAATCTTACTTTTCTCACCATTGGACTGATATTCATGCTGAGTGGCATAGAGTACGGTAAGTTCATATCGAACTGGATATCATTTCAGGGTTGTTTTTGGCATATTAATGCACACGTCTCAACCCTTCTCTGTTGTTCCTCTGTGGTGGCCTCAGCTGTCATTCTTCCTACAATATGGAGGTATCTACAGATTTTGGAGGCCCCACCTTACTTCCTGGGTCTCGGTCTGTCTGCCTTCAGCTTGAGTGCACTGGTCACGGGCCCGCTATTTGGCATCTGGTCAGATCGAAGCAAAACTACAAAGTCCATTGTCCTTTTCTCAAATGTTTTCGAAATTGTTGGTAAGTAGTCAAGCCACGAGACATCACATGACTAATTTAGACTCTGTGTCACGCTTCTGTATGAAGAGACTCTGTGGGTCATCTTTTACGCATTTATTTTCACCTCATGCAACACAGAGAATTCCTTATAGATGACCGAGCTTACAAAAAATCTGATATCAGGTCATTCCTTTCATCTGAATGCAATCTAAATTTCTCTTTGAACGTAGCCTCCGGGAGGAAGAAAGTCAAGTGAATAGTGAAAGAGGCGCAGAATTGATTTAAACCTGCTTTCTTTCTAATGGCCAGCAGAGGGTGGCTTCTGCAGTTGCAAAAAGAAGTCTGATTGTAGAAAAGTCAAAGAGGAAATCACCCTACTGGTCCCTTCCCAAAATATTGATTCTGTTCTGAGTCTCATTTAGAGTAAAAGACACAGTTAAGCAGGAAGTGCTTGCTAAATTGTGTTTGGCCATTTAGTGCCATGTGATTGTCAGTCACACTTCATCACGTGTGGTTTCTTAAAAAGAAAAAAAAAGGCTTTAGTTATGTAGACCTATACTGGCTGGCAACCCCATGGCAACCACCCGCTGGGTTGTGTTGGTCAGTGTTTGCTGGAGGTTACTAGGTGAAATCAGTCACAAAAAGGGTACTGTACCAACAACGTCCTTGTGATTGCTTTTGTTGATAGCAGATTGCTGCTGTTGCCCCATAGCTTGCTGTTGTAAAACTAAAATAAGACTTGAAACAGAGAAGGTTCACGTGTCTTCCATGCAAACTACTGGTGACAGCAGCAACTTGCTAGAGACCAAAGCAACTGCAAGAAGGTTCCTGGTAGCGCACGGTATACCTCCATACCGCTTTGTGACCAATTTCATGCTAGTGCGTGCCAACCTCTAGCAACCACTCTCCAAGCAGTTGTGGTTGGTGAGTGGTGAGAGGGCTATTAACAGTGGACCTTTAACCTCCTGCAGCCACTGGCTAATCTGTTAGTTGATGCACATGTTTCCATAGTGACCATAGTTACCAGATAGCCACTGACTAGTCTCTAGGCTTGTGTGAAGCTACAGGCTTCAAAATGAGAACTCTCTAGCTGCCTCTGCGATTCAAATTTTTATCTACAGGATGCACACAATGGATTATGGGAATTTCTAAAATAACTATTTATTTGTTCTTTAAGCAAAGCATTATAGGGATGATGTGAGTCATTGTTAAGAAATTTATGTTGTCAACCAAACAACAAAATCACCTGAATGCTATTAGACTAACAGTATATTCTAAATAGTAGCTAAATATTAGTAAATACTAGCTAAAACCTAGCTACTATCAGCTAAAATCAACTAACTAAAACAGCAGTACCACATGATGGTCTATTATTGTTAATGTGCACTTTACTAGATACAGTGTTTTTCTATTGTCACCGAATGTGTTGGAATCAATGACTGTAGACCTTTTTAGTAAAAGAAAAGTTTTTTTTATACAGTCATTGGTTGGCGTGTTAGCATGCTAACATTAGCCAACTAGCCAAAGTATAGAATAGTATAGAAGTTAATGGAATTGTTACAGGGTGAAGCCAGTACTTTTTTGGAAACATTTAAACAAAGATCTTGCCTCAGATGAAGATGCATTTCACAACAATTTTTTATTTTTTTTTATTTCTTCTCAGGTAACTTTATGTATTTCATTGGATACTCAAAGTGGCTTTTGTTATGCAGTCGGATTGTAGCAGGTGACAAATGCACACACATGCACGCATGCATTACGTAAAACGGTTAACACTCAATGCATGTAATATATCATAGTTTGATATGTTTGCCCTAAGGTGTCGGAGCAGGAGCTGGGTCCTCCATCTTTGGCTTTTTGACTCGGAGCACTCAGCCGGAGGAGCGAGCTGGAATATTTGCCGCCATCATGGCTGGTCGACAAGCCGGTCTTCTTGTTGGTCAGTTTCTACCCTTTCCACTTATCCACAGAGAAATAGGTGTTATTTCACCTCTCACCACCCCTTCTGCCCTGTGAGGAAATATCAGACAACGGGAAGGATTTCGTGATCCTTTTTTTCCCTTTTTTCTTTTTTGATGTTTCATTTAAACTGTGAGCAGAAAAAAACATTCAATAAAATCACTAAGGAGCAGGCTACTGTTTCCACACATCTTCCATTTATCTCATCTTTAAAGCACTTCCTCCTGTCTCTACAGGGCCGGCGTTCAACCTGTTCCTGCGGCTGTGTGATTTCAAACTGGGGCCCTTTGTTGTGAACAAGTATACGTCTCCTGGGGTAACAGCATCCAGATAATCAGTAATCTAAGGTTCTGTGAAAGGCTCATGAATACAGAAATAACCTTCAGAAATAGTCGCTCTACATTCTGTGCTCACATATATATTTTTCCTCCTTTGTTCTCCTGTGAGTAAGAGGAATACAAAACACCTGCAGCGGTACTCGGTCCCGTAACAACCTGTATCGATCTGTTTCTATCTAAGTGTGCCTGAATAAAACACCTGTAGCTTAAATGAGACTTAACAAAGCTCTTATATGCCTGCTTCCATTTTTTTCCGCATAATATGACCCAGAATCCCTCTCTAGATTTCACTCTGCCAGGCAGCGCTTCCATAGCTGAACCACTTTATCTCTCCTGAAAGCTTCCAGGGATTCTGGTCCTGTGAAAATATCTTTTTTTGTGTGTTTAAACTGTAAGATCTTTGAAGACATGTGGGCTTTTCCTCCATGCTGTCAGATCTTCATGTGCCTGTTGTGGGTGCTGCTCCAGTTTGTCGTCCTGGCTATGTACTGGGATGTACCACCCGTTAGCTGCGAGGGGGGAGCCACGATGATGGAGATGAAACAGGAGGAGGTAGAGGAAGAGGTGCCGCTGATGGGGTCTGACGAGGAGCCGGTGCACACCTACAGAGCCCTCAACTCCGACCAACTGGAGACCTCCACCTCGTCTGACATGCAACCCGTCCACAGAGCTTCGGACCCCTTCCGAAACTTCAGCGCCAGCAGAGGTGAGCCGGCAGGTTTGACTGCCTGTCTCGAGCAATTACAGTCAGCTTTCCTCTGCCCCATTTTGCAGCGTTCAGGTAGGAAGAGGTGTCACTGCCAATGCACATGTTTCATATCTGCTCTATTGATTTTGCTTGCATTTGCTCACTCAGTCTCGCACACACTTTCCATTCTCCAGGTCTCTCTGAGGAATTTTCTGCAGCATGTCAGATCAGATTCCCAGTGTATTGATTGGACTTGCGTGTACATGTCTGGTTTATGTCAGAGCATGTATATACATGATGTCAGGTGCACTATTGGATTAGTGTCATAGTACGTTTACATGGCGATTGCGATTGTTTGCCACTACTCAATATCCTTTCTGTACTTTCTTTGACTGTGTGTGTGTCTTGGGAGTGAGTGGGTTGAGTACTTACTCATTTGTCTTAACCATGTTGTGAGGACCTAAAGCTTTGATCGTAGATTTACGCACTCACATTCTGGGGATTGATTTTTCTTTTGGGGACGTCGTTAAATTTAAGCTGCAGACGTGTTTAAAGCTTACGGTCGAGGTGAGTGTTGGGGTCAGAGTTGTGTTTAAGACTGAAGTAACTCTCCAGGAAATGCGAGTCGGTGTTGTGTCCTCTAAAGACACAACTGCGAGTGCGTGTGTTTGTGTGTATGTGCTGTATTGATTCTCTCACTCTTTGAAGACGTGGCAGAGGGAAGGATGGAAGACTTCCTTTTTTATTGACTGACTTGCTGTGGTTGACTTGTGGATGAAATGGAGACAGAATTGGTAATGTGGCCAACATTCCTCTTATTGATTCCTTTTTGTACGAAGAGAAGCTACAACACCAGAAACGCAGCAGGAGCGGAGGATGTTTTCTCTGGCACATGCAGTAGGAGTGTCTGTTAGCCCTTACAGCGTGTCTGGTATTCGCTCTCTTGAATTATTGATCTTTTCTGACTTTTTGTGTATCAGTGGAGAAGCTTTGAAAATCAGGGCAGATCTTTCACTTTCTTTCATCAAATCTTGATTTTTCTGGTAGGTGTCGTGGAAAGAAAAAAGTACATAACAGCACCAGTAAAATCTCTGTGAATCTTTGCTTTTGGAACAAGGAAAACTACACAACTGCCTTTTTTAGTCCATGTACTTGTATTGTATCTTGAACTGGATCAGATTTTACACATGCTTACACGGCACTGCGGGTTTGTAGCCTGCTCTGTTTCACGCTCTAGTTCTTCTCCCTTGAAAAGACTGAAACATTCAAAGATGTATTATCTGAAACATACTTAAGAGATATTTTGTAATCAAGAGTTAGATTCCACTTTCATACTGAGCAAAAAGTCCAGATGCAGGAGTGAATGCCTTCATTTGTTTAACATGTATAAAAATATAGAAATAAAAGAAATGCAGGTTTTACTCTGTGCTAGATCCTCTGCTAGTAAATGTCTTCCTGGATAACTAACAACAATG